GCTGGAGTGCAGTGGCCGCTCCCGGCCACCGCAGCCTCGACCTGCTGGGCTCTGGCAATCCTTCTGCCTCAGCCTTCCAGGTAGCCGGAACTATAGGTGCGCGCTACCATGCCTGGCTAATTTTTTGATTTATTGTAGAGATGAGGTCTTGCCAAGTTGCCCAGGCGGGTCTTGAACCCGCAGGCTCAGGCAATTCACTCACCTTGGCCTCCCAAAGCCTGGGATTACAGGCTAAGCCACCAAGCCCGGCCTGTATCGTTATTTTTATTGTCTATTTTCCCCCAAATATTTCCCATCTGGGGTGAGTTGAATCTGGGAACGTGGGACCAGCGGATGTGGAGGGTGACTGCATTTTGCAGGCAGTTGAGAACGCCACCCTGGAGCTCAGGAGATGGCTCTGGCTGGAGGCTACACACCACGGGCATGTACAGATCGTAGCAGGAGGCGTGGGGGCAGACCACTGAGCCCATGGAAGGTGAACAGACAAGGGAGAGAAGGTCGAGCACAAAACTCTGGGGCGGAGGCTCCAGTCTGGGGGACTCCTGGGGGAACTAAGCTCTTCACAGAAGGCCCAGAAGGAACGCAAAAAAAGCAGGAAAAAGCACGGGAGAGTGGGGTTACAGAGACCAAGCTGAGGAGACTCGGTTCCAGCAGCGTCACCAGCCGGAGGGGGAGCGAATGTTTGCCCATTGGCGGGGTGGCCTGCTCTTTGTCCTTTGAGCTGGTGATGAGAAGGGCCGGGGACAAGGAGGACAGAGTGTGGGGGGTGGCGGCACCAGGACCTCTTGTCCCAGAGACGGGGATCATGGGGCGCCGTGGCCTGCTGTGGCGACCCAGTCCCTGGCGCTGGCTGGGAGCGGCCACGCTGCTGCGCTCCAGACTGCTGGGAGTCACCCGTGGGTGCCCCCTCCTGCGCCCCCACCCCAGAACAAGTACCTGGCATTTCCGTCCGTCCACGATCCTCAGGTCCTCCTCAAACTCAACGCCCACCTGGAATTCCAGGACGTAGGTGCGGAAGGCGCTGAGGGTCTTCACCGTCAAGTGGTCGCCCTGGTGGTCGATCTCCTTGTCGGGCTTCAGCCACCGTGCGACCCTCCGCAGGGCTGTGCTGATGTCTGCGGAGTGGGGGCGGCGTTAAGGGGGAGAGCGCGCCCAGCCAGCAGCCCCTCCACCTCAGGGCTGGGCGCGCTCTCCCCCTAAGGCAGCCTGGGACTGTGATTTCCCCCTCTGGCCGCACGCCCGGGAAGTGGATCCCAAGTCAGGCGCTGACCGTCTGAGCCCTCCGCAGCGTCCAGCCGGACATTCCCCCATTCCCGGGATCGAGGGGCAGGGAGGGGGAAGGGGGAAGCGGGGAGGGGCCTGGGAGGGCCAGGCCGTTACTCAGCGCTTGCAGGTAGTCCTCTATGTTCTTCTGCGAGACAAAGCGGTAGTAGCCGGTGAGGTTGGGAGGCATGGTGGAGGATGTCTGGGAGATGCGGGAGGCAGGTGAGGGGGCGGCTGCCTGCCAGGGCTGAGGGTGGCCGCGCAGCTCCCGAGACAGGGCGTGCCAAGGCCCGGCGGCCCGGCTCTTGTGGGCTGGGCGCTGCTGCAGTAGGAGGCCCCAGCACTCCTCCCTCCCCCACGGTGAGTCCGGGGCGGTGTCTGCAGGGACTCGGCAGAGTTGGGCCCGGCCGGGTTTTTCCCGAGGAAGCAGCCCGAGCAGGGCCGGGCGGCAGTCGCTCAAAATCCAAGCAGTTCTGAAGGCCGGTGTTGGCCTCCGCCGCATCCCTGGCGGGTGGGGGAGGCCCCGAGGGGGCAGCCGCCCGTGGGAGGCCCTGTGGCGGGGGGCGTGGGGTGGAGACGAGTTCCCACCACATGCTGAGATCCAGGCACCGAGCAGATGGCGGAGGTCTGAGGGGAGGGCG